AACATGACTGATGAATTGAATGAAATTGAATTGAATGAGTCATTAGAATTAACAACTGGACAATTGTGTCCCTTTGTTATTTTACAAAAAATCAGGTTGGCGTCTTGAGAACAATCTTCAACTTATGTTTAGCAGTAAGTCGCTTTTGTATTAGGCATTTGGTGATTAATTAAAATTAATTGAAATTAACTAATTTAGATTAAAACTATCATCCGATAAAATTGTCAGCGACATCTCAGTTCTAAACTCTTTCAACACAGGAAGCGACCACCGAATAGTCAGAGCTAAATTATCCAAACAGAAGCCAAAAAGATATATTAAACACAACACAGACTCAATAGATAGCAGCACTCTGAAAGAAAACAAAGTCATATACCAAAACGAATTGAAAGCCAAATTAATCGAAAATATAAGTCCAACAAATATAAATGAAGTGGCAACATAGAGAAAAACAAACAAACCAAGAGCGGAAACGATTCAGCTGATAGAAAATAGAAGGACCGTGTACGGCGAAGTCAAACACATTACAGAAGAATAACGCGAAATCAGAAGAGAAGCAAGAAAAATGATACGCAAGGATTTGGACGGAAACTACATAACAGAAGTAGAAAATGCAATCGAAAATAATAAAAACATGATAATCCTCCGGACGAACAACAGCAGGAAAGAATTAATAACCCTAAGAGACTCCATGCAACGGGAAGAACCAACCAGAAATAAGAAGGAAATATTAAAGATCACCAAGGTATTTTACCAAGACCTTACAACTGAAGAAACTAGAAACAATTACATTTAAGAAAGTGAGAAATGTGGGGTCGGACGACATCCCCGAACTAACAGAGGAGGAAATACAACATGCTCTTAAAGCATCAAAATATAGCAGAGCCCCTGGAGGCGACGGCATAGTAATAGAAATGATGAAGGAGGCAGAAGAAACAATCATCCGCAAGCTAAAGAGACTTTTCAACATTTGCTTTGAAACCCAAGAAATACCTGAAACCTGGAACAATTCCATAATCATCTTACTCTACAAGACAGGAGACCCGAAACTTCTTCCGAGTTATAGGCCAATTTGTTTGCTTTCACACAGCTATGAATTGTTCACGAGAATCATCGTTAACAGAGTCAGTAGCAAACGCGATGACTACCCAGACAGCATTATTAAATCGATTGGACGTCCATAGGGCAACGGATTTCGGCCGCATGTCCAATGGATGTCCATAATTTGTCCGATTGCTGTCCAATTGACGTCCATTTTCCTATACAAGGGTCACAGAATCCTACCTCCGCCGGATGTCCAACGATAAGGCATCTAACGGACACGGCATATATATTGTTTTTAAAATATTAATTTTGAAATTTCAAAACTTCTGGATGTCCTGGATGTTTTTTAATAAATAACTTTATTTAGGTATACAACAAATAATACTTTATACTTAAAGTACAAATTATTTTAATGACTAAAAAATAACAATAAAATTTAGGCTCAAAGGAACCCGTAAATGCAAGCTTTCATTAACGATTTAACGAACAAAATAATTTTATTTGGGTTCGTTCTTTCGCCAGGCCACATGTGCAACATATGATCACTACACGCAACTCGCAATAGTACCGTTTAAAGCTACAGCTGCAAGCTGCGTAGCAGTGAAAGTATAAGTCGCTCTTTAATATCACGTTTTAGATTATATTTTTATTTATTGTTATTGGTATTTATGACTCCATGTGAAAAAATCACAGGTAGTAATTTGTTGCTCAATTCTAATTCAAACCAAACATTAGTATGAGCCGTATGGTTCAATTGCAATACCCTCGCACAACTCTTGCAAAAATGTTCGTATTGCAGGACATGGTCTTGGTCTTGGTCTTGTTCTTGCATACAAAGTTTTGGTCTTGGTCTTGGTCTTGCCAGTCGCTTTCACCACTAATAATGTTTTTCAAACTAATTTTATAAAACGTTTAGCGGGATGTATCACCATTAATTATAATTAAAAAAATACACCCCTTTGTAGAATAAAATCAACAATACTCAATTTAATTATTAACTACGCGGTTAAATCCACTAAAAAATTTATGAAAAACAAACTATTTCGAACCAATCGTGAAGCAGCGATTCCTTTGACTCGGCCAAAAATACCAGAGATACAAGAGCCGGAACATGCTCCAACGCGAACGTTAGAGGCTCGACATTGGAGCTCTAGGTCGATGAACCGTCAAGCCTCCAACGTTGGAGGGTGTTCGTAGCATCGTGTAGCGCCGGCTTAACCGAGCCCGTATCGACCATAGGTACACAAACAAACTGGAATAGATTCACAAAAACGAGAAAGCGGCAGTGAGAATACACGAAACAACAGGTGCCCAATTCTCGAGTTCGAGAGAACGTGAACGGTCCTATCGCCGATGTGGCCGTTTGCTTCCCCGCTCTTTCTACTATGGTCAGAGACAAGTACTTGTCTCTGATATGGTTCGAAAACCGTATTCTCGAACGGCGTGACCAGATTTCCGTAACCGTTGTCGCCCCTGCCGAGCTCATTTATCGCCCAAAGTCGCAACGGCTGTAGCGACACTCGCAACAGTGTTGAAACCGGAACACCGTGTAACACGTCACTCGTGACCCCTAAAATGTTTATGACAATTTCGGAGGGTAGTTTCAGTATTTAATTACAACAGATGTTTGCAGAGCCACATTTTGAAATACAATACTGTCGAAAAACACCTCCTTATAAAAACTATGCATATAGACTTGTTAGTTCTTGTTGATAAGATGTCATATACGCAGAACCAATGCCATAAATCTCAAACCAGTAATTAATAAACAAAACCAAATCAGCGGCCATCAATCACCAGTCTAGTGTAATCTGCAAACACACCCCCCAGCCATGATGCAGGGAATGATGACTGAAGCATAGTCAAGCAATAAAAGCAATACTCAACGATTATTTTCAGCTTATTATTACTTCTCTCTCTGTATGTGACAGATCAATAGAGCCACTTGTTCTTGGCCAATTGTATAATTTTTTTAAATCTAACAGACTTTAATGCCTAAGAAAACTTTTTAAAACCACGTCTAAATAGATAATGGTTTATCACATTTTACACACAAATAAATACCTACTAAAAACAAAAATTTCTTTTTTTTTTTTTGATGTGCTTAGTACACTCCATGGCAATTTCATCAGAAAATATTGTTTTTTGTCACAGATAAATAATTGTGTTTTAGTAAAAAAAGTCATTTTATAGAGGTACCGGCGAACACCATGAATAGACAGTATAAAAAGGAAGTCGGTATTAATTTTAAGAACTATAATGAAGAAATCGTCGCTAGGGCACTCGAAGATATTCGACAAGGCAGAAAACGTTTAAGACTGCTGTAGAAAATGATAAAATTTCAAGATCCACCTTACCCGATAAGAAAAAACGAATCAAAACGAAGAAACATAGCGAACAGTGCCTAATTTCACAAGAAGAAGAGAAACTTAGTAAGAATAAGAATACGCCTCGGACTAGGTGCTAAGACGATTTTTAACGCTTTATAAGGGGTCGTTTACCTTTACTCCATACATACCTGAAAAACATTAGGGGAGAATGAAAAGTGTATGTGTTTGACTATGGAATTCGATACGAAAGATACACGGAAGGCTCAAAATTATTTTATTAAAAATTTTCATTTCAAAATTATATTTGTTTTTCACCACGAACGACGGTAGTTTATATTCAAAATTAATAATCTTGGTACCGCCTTGGACATTATTTATTTCAGACAAATTTTACAAATTTCTTACTGCTGACTTATCTACGAGTCTTAATTCTAACATCTTTAGAGTGTTTTACACTCTGTGCATGCTGACATCCCTGACTTAACCTACCTTAACCTAATGTGGGCACATTACCCTTAAGTTTAGACCTAAATCTAATACAGCTTCTCTTGTTACCTAAACTAACTTACAGCTAGTCCTGGTCCTCTAGGGACTCCATGGGGATGTGGTCT